AAATTCCAGGCTATGCATGTCTTGGGAGAAGTAAAGATTGGATTGCTCAGGAGAAAGCACTGGCATCCCTTGGGTCAGTGGTATCAATCAAGTTTTCCCTTGTTTGTTCAGATAAAATATCACTGTTGTGTAGCCTGTAGTAACCTGGATGTAGTGACAAAAGAATACAGCCTGAAAAATGCAGAATATGTGACACGCAGCAAGCATTTTGAGACAGTTGATGTGTCTCTTAGATTTGAAATGGTTCCACATGCTGTGAATGGTCAGAGGTCTTCAATGTACTCCCCAGCTGGTTAGAGAAACATCACTTCTAAGGGTGTGCATTGGACTAGGAGGAGCTAAAGGAATGTAGCACTCTGCATCCATTTGTGAAGACTGGAGGGTGATATCCACTATCAAAGACTCACTTGCTCAGTGGCTGGGATCAGAATCTAAGTGCAGAGTGGATTGTTCACTGGAAGAAATGAGCAGAAAACTAACCTTGAGGTGGTCTCATATAGAGTGTTGCCAGCAGAACAACCACAAATGTAGCTGCCGTAAGCTCTGGAAAATGTTGGGCCTGGAAAGCTTTGATTTTTAAGAGTGAGGGTTCTTGATCATGGCAGGTAAGCTCTTGCTGAAACAGAAACAACTCATGCAGCAATTTACAGAATAGGCTTTGGAGGAGAGAGGAGAGATTTTGCTACATTTATATGCAGATCCAAAGCATCCAAAAGGAATCAGGTAACTGAGATGGAACATAGATTTCACATAAAAGGAGCAATGATTAGCCAGTCATCCAAGTAGGGGTAGACCTGAACTCCTTATAAATGAAGGTGGACAGAGACTATTGCATTATACTCTGTAAAAACTCTCAGAGAAGTGTCCAAACTGAAAGGGAAAACAAAGATATCACTGCCACTTTAAAAATGAAGGCAGCGTTGATACAGTTCCTCTGCTCTGAGAGGAAAGTAAGCATCTTTCAAATCTATAGATGCAAACCAGTCCCCTTGGTGCAGGGGTGGGATGATGGATGAAAAAGTACTCACATGAAACTTCTTAGGGGTGGTAAAGGACTTAAAGTTTTAGAGGTCCAGGATCTATCCCGTCTCAGCACCATACAATAGCTTGACTAGAAACCATTCCACACCTGTGAAGGAGGAGGAGTAGGCCATATGATACCCTTGGCAAGAAGTGAGAACACTTCTGAATCTAAGTGGGGAGAGCATTGAATTCTATTCTTTGGCCTCAATTCACAGTAGAAAGTACCCGAGAATCTGGTGTTATTGATTTAGGCAGGAAGAAAAGGGGACTAACACGGGGTGAATCACAATTTCTGCAAAACAGTACGAAAGATACCTTAATACAGAAGTAAACACAGCTCAACAAAATTCCTCAACGTAATGTAGAAACATTGAATTATGTAGGAAGAGTGACACCTAGAGGCCAGTCATGTGTAAAGGCCCAGGCATGGTCTTAGGTCTTTCATCAAGATCTAAGCCTAAGGCAGTAATTTCTCCTGTTAAAACTCGTCTTGCACTTAAACAAATAAAAAGTTTGTTTAAGGTTGTCAAAATAAATCAAAATATGACTGTTCAAATAATATATAAGGATAAAATATTTAAAGTTGAAAGGGAGGCCTGAGAGGAGACCCTGGATCATATCCCCACTTGGCCACGAAGTACAACTGAGTGACCCCGAGCCAGCTACTTTCTCATCTTAACCTACTTCACAGGGTTATTATGAGGATAAAAGGTGGGAGAGGAAATACTGTGTTTTCTCATTCAAATTGTTGGATGAATGCAGGACGACACTGTAATACTAAGTCAAAACTAACCATCTAACCTGCTGTTGATGACTTCCATAGGTATGGTTCTCTAGTGTATCAGGTAGACTTTACCTGTTTCCTGATCCCTTTAAGTAGAGATGCCAGGAATTTAAGCCAGGGCTTTCTGTATATAAAGCATGAGCTCTGTCACTGAGCTACAATAGAATTATAAAACAGTGCCTTCTAAAACATCAAGAGGAGACTGAATTGAAGGCAAACAATAACAGGTTCAGCTGAAAGCAAAATACCAATAAACTTTACCTGCTCGATGGAAGGAAATGTTACAAAGTCATCCACGCACATGAGATGCTTCAGGTTATTGACCCACTGTGGATAATAAAAATATGGTTGCAATCAGGAAGAAATTGTATGCAGAACTGAGGAAATACAGGTCCAACAGACCTAAAGCAGGGTTTCACAACTTGTGGCCCTCCAGCCATTTAGCCAGCATAGACAATAGTGAAGGGGGATGGGAGTTGCAAGCTAAAAGCAACTGGAGGGTCACAAGCTGCCATCTCTGCCCTGAAGGAGAAAAAGAACAATGTTTTCTTCTCCACTCTCAATGTAGCTGATGTGAGGAGACATGAAAGACATGCCTTATTTTTTTTCTTGGGCTATATTTAATTTGGAGAAATGGCATGACAAACTTTGAAAAAGCTCTGGGCTCACCTTGTTCAGACCATGGCAGTAGCCTTAGCTATGCATGGGGAAAGAATGGCAAAAGGAATGGAGCTGTCCATACCTACGTTTTCTCCCAATGTAATACTGTTAAGATCTCCTTTCTGAATGTTGCAAAGCCCTCAGTATTCAATTGCACTGTGGTATCACCAAGAATCAAAGCAGGATTGGTTTGTACAGATTAAGAGATAATTTTCTTTGGCTGGAGTAATCAAGATCAAAGTCTTGCAGCAATTTACAAAGTCTGCTATACTTGAGAGATGCATTTCATTGCTCTCTTCAAGTATAGCAGTTTAGTTAATGGATGCCATTCTTCTGTGGAGAAAGGTATAAACCACTGTACTTGGAAAACTGTTATAATGAAGACAAAACCTGCTCTCTACTCTTGACTCTGGATGGTTTAATCCACATTAATGGGATTCCACAAGGAAGGTGTGAAATGCATCCCACCCTGCACAGGTCCTTCCTATGTACAGATTCCACCCCTTCACCCACCCGACATTATTACATTGCATTTTTCCCCTCTTGTGAGGAATCCAAGGTCTTGCAGAGCTCAATTTAATCTTCATAAATCAGCTCTTTGAAGTAGATTGGGCTGAGAGTGCACAATTGGCTCAAAGTTGCCCATGAAGGACTAGGACCTTGATCTCCCAGGTTCCCACTCTGATCACTACATCACATAGAGACAACTATTTGCCTTGCTGGAAGCAAAACATACTTGCATGGTCTTTATTAAAAATACTATGTCACAGTATGTACTGTTAAGGCAGGTTGCTTACCTGTAACTGTCGTTCTTCGAGTGGCCATCTGTGCGTTCACACATGGGCCATCGGAAGAAGAAATGAGAAGGAGATAGTAAAGAGGGTAAGATAATATTTTTGTTTTGTTTTTTTTAGAAAGTCAAAGAGTAGAGGAAAGAACTCGAATGGGGGAAAAAAACTTGGAGACTAGATAAGACAACTAGTAACAAGAAGATAGCAACAGAGAACAATACGAATGAGAGATAAAGGCTCAAGGCACAGTGAACGGCGGTCGCAAAAGACTGAGAAAATGGCGGACACTCCGCTCTACTTATAGCATTGAGCGGGAGGGGAGCGGAGTTTCCTGCCAAAAACCGTTAGCTTTGCAATCTTTCCGGCCTTAGGCACTGTGCAGACGCAGCACCCATATGTGTGATGCACAGAGGCCACGACAAAGAACAAATGACTATAAGTGGTGCAAACCACATAGAACTTGTTGTAGTTTTCTAACTAGTCCATTTCTCAGCTGAACAGATCTTGAAGAGTGAGTGAACTGGAGATCACTGTGTTCAAGCCTGCCTGGTAATTGACTGAGTTGCTCTGATTTCATGAGATATTTTGTGAACTTCCGATTTGTTCAAGGTTAAGCTCTTAGCAACAGAATGCTGGGGAAGTGAGAGGCAACCTAAATGAAATAAAACATTATATATGAATGAGGAACTGGAAGATCTTGAAGTGGGTACAGAAGGTCTGAGGTTGGGGAAGAAGGCAGTAGCTGATCAAGCGTCAAACCAGAACCAGGAAGATCCAGATTCAAATTCTTACTCAACCATGCAGCTCATAGACCTGTCCACCCCATCCTGATACATCTTTATGAGGTTGTGAATGTTCTGATTTAGGGAGGCGGAGAATAAGGAAAATAATGGAGGGAAAATAGGACAATTTGAAATGTTACCTGCCCTTCTTGTTAGGTTGGTAGCAGTTACCCATTACAAAGAAGTGCTTTAAATAAGATGCTAAAGCCTCAAGATTATGCATGTATCCCTGGGAGTAAGAAAGAACAATGAAGCTTACTTCTGGGCAAATCATCTGGGATCACAATGTGAATGACTCACATCCCTTTCTTTCCTCCTGCAATTATATCCAAAATAGGACTTGTGCATCAGAGCTGTGGTGAAGAAACTGTAAAGACAGACATTAAGCATTCCTCAATGACACACTCTCTCCTGCAGTAATCTATTCCTCGTTATAATGACTGTGAACTTCAAATTAAAATGCAGTCTGTTTGACATATGGCTGAGTACACTGTAGAATGTCAAGATGTCAAATGGCTGGTAGAGTCAGAAGTCGTTCAGAGACCACCTGGGAAACAAGGACAAATAACCAGCATCCCAGAATTAAAGGATTAAGCCCGGTTGCCTCTGGCGTGGAGCCACAAGTGTGTGTCTGCAGGTTTCCTCCGTGCTACTCAGTTAGCATTAGCAACAACTGTGGAGTGCACCAGCGCCAGTTACGTGGGCAACAGGGAGCAGAGAGAGGTGCCATGGTATCTGAATGAGCACTTTTAAGCATCTGCTTCCTTGTACATGGAGGTTGGTATAGACGGGGTGAGGGCCAACTCAGGCCCTGCTGACTGCCAGCTTTGGCCACACCTTGGGGGCAAAGGTGGCCAGTCCTAGATTAGCAATTATTAGGTGGAAGTGGCTCTTATAATTAATTTTTATTTACTGTAGGAGGGGTTAATCAGAAATAATAAGTATAAAAACACAACAACGAAAAATAAATTGGCTTTATTTACGAATTTTCTAGAAAGCATGTAATAAAAAGTGGTCACAAGTGACAAAAAACCAAATATTGCACAGTGTACAGAAAACATTGTTTGCAGAGGGGAAAACCACATAACAACGTTCTCTCATTCTAAGCTAAAACAAGTCTACTACAAATTTGAAGAAAGTTGATTTTATAATTTTGTCTAAAAATGGAGAACTGCTGTTCAAAAAGTTTATGGGAACTTTTAAATTCCACCCTATAAAGAATGATGTAGTTTAAAAGGGTATAGTCATTGGTATTAATGCATCCATTAAAGGCTTGAAATACCTCTCTCTCCTCTCTCTAAATTGTCAATGGAATCACACACACAAAATAGATCACCATGCACCATGGGGGAGCGGGGGAAACTGCTCCGAAAAATCACAAGCCCGAAGTCATAATTGTATGACTGTCTGTATTGTGGCCTTCATTTTTAACACTGATAATTTACTATGAGATTCAAATACAATACATAAAAGCTGTGCATAAGTGATTGTAGAACAAAGTTTAACGATATATCATTAGATAAAACTCATTTCTCAAAGGTACCCTGGTTGAGGAACATTTAAAACAGTTGTTTAAGCACAACAGGATATGCACAATATGCTGATGTACCAGCAGTATTCATACACATTTTAATGAACGAGGATTTAAAATAAAGCTGTATCATGGTTTGTACATGCACATAAATTTCACTCTTTTAAAACATGAGATATTCTGAGAGAAGGGTGTAGAACAGGTGCACACTGGATTATTTACCCCTTTCTTATAATACAAAAATTAGGAGGCACTAGAATAAATTTACAGGAGCAAATTCTGGGACAGGGGGATCTTAGTCTATACAATTCACAATTAAAGTTTGTAATTTATCCATCCAGATAAACTGCTGGTTCTTAGCCAACTGATCACTGGATTCACATTCAAAAATGCCGGCAGGAAAGTTTGGGGAAAAAACCCAACATGAATATATCAACAAACAAGGAAATTTTGAGGCTTCCTTGTTTTGTTAAAACATAGATTACCAGATGCTGTCAGACTAAATCTTTGTCTCAGTAAATTACTCATCAGGTTTTTTACTGTGTCTGATAGCAAAAATGATAACATCTGGAACACCATTTAGTATGTTATTTTTACACATTTATACATATACACAGATGTATTTATATGTATAAATGTAGTATATTTATGCATTTATACATAGTTTGAAAAGGGTTACTAAGCTGTTACTATATCCTGAGATAATCTTTTATAATATCCAGCTACAAACAATATTTTTAGAACACTGCTACATCAGCCTTTCTACTATCTTTCAAAGTTACAGAAACCGAAGTAAAGGCAAGCTTCAAAAAGTCTGAAAGAGAACTGCAGCTAGAGAAGGTAGATGTAATTTAAGTTTCAAATTACAGTTGACTTCCCTAATATACTTTATCATTTTTACCACCTTATTATCAAGATTATCCTCTTCATGCTGAGTAAATGATTCTGGTCAGAATGCTAATGTTTGGAGGTCCATGTGGCATGTAAGCATGTACTGACAGGGAGTAGTAATTTTGTTTTTTGGTACTTGTAAAGTTTAGTATGCTTCTCAGCAAAAACATTTGAAAAAAGACAATTGCTAATGGCTGATGAAAGATTAATTAGTGGGAATGCATGTCAGCGTTAACATTTTAACAAACATGCCTCTGATATAAATTTAAAAGATAACTTATCAGAATTTATAACAAATAGAATTATCAGTATTTTATTATGAGAATTTATAATGAATAGAATTATTATGTTTTGATGCTGAAGTAAAAAGTTATCAGGGATTTTTAACATATTGAACGGGTATTTGGATTCTTCAGAAAGGTGAAAATAGTAACACCAGTAAATCAGACTACAGATATAACAGGAAGGTTAATTTTTTTAAAAAAATAAGTAAAACATTTGTAAAATATTGTGTAAAAGATTTAGTGTCCACTAATCTGGAATTCATTCCTGATATTCCAAACTGGAAAATATACAATAAATTTGTAAATTATATTTTACTGAAAAACAGAAATTAGAAAAAAGAAATCTAGGATGGCCCAGTACTTTGCAACATCCCTTAATGTATCCAGTCAGGTCTTGATAATATTTGCTGTAATTTTGAAGAATTATTGTAGGTTTTTCAGAATGTGAAAGATTTGTTTTTAGAAATATTAAATAGGAATATACATCTGCTAAAAATACAATGGTTGCTAGAAGGAAAAGGAATGTCCCCATTCAAAGAAATTAATCACAAATGACCTTTTTCTAGAACAAAAAATCCATTTGTTTTTTATAAAATGGAATTATTTCACAAGAAACAAGCTTAAAAACCTTAAAGATCTATTGATCCACGGCAATAATTACAACCAGGTATTTCTGAAACAGGTATTCATTGATTAGACATTTTCACTGACAACTGGGTTCCAGGCAGCCAAACTAGTTTCCCCACTAGCTTCACTCATTTCATTAAGCTCCATTTCATGGATTTCTTCATCTTGTGCATAAGATCTGCTATTAGCATTTTCTTCACAATAAACACACTCCTTCAAGAAAGAAAGAAACGAAGAAATTTATTGTTATTTGAATGCGTTGCTAGAAATATACAACTGCATACATTTCAAATTCTTCTATGCATGAAAGCAGTAAACAAGTATCGCACATACTAAGGCTGCAATGCTATGCACACTTGACCAGGAAGAAAGGCCCAATGAATAATCTGGAACTTGGTTCTATGGGTGGGTGGTGTCTAACTCTAATGTGACATAAGCAATTTGCATAACCTCATCCTCTAACAGAAGTTAGTTTTTTTATACTGAAAGGAAAAAAATCCTTGAACGTACTGAATTAGCAACCGCCTCCGGAAGTCCACCCTTCTGAATCCATGGATGCACTTCAAGTAGCTCTCTTTTTTGCTCTTCAGTAAACTTTGGTTGAAACTTTTGCATTTGTTTCAGTTTCAATTTGTCTTCTTCTAAAACAGCTTCTAAGTCACTAATGTAAAATATATAAACAATTCCATTTCAGTTCTTCAAACAACTAAACATGCAGAATTCATTAACAGGCACAAACAAAATATTATACAGCTTTTAGTTTTGGACTAAAATTATTATAACAACTGTAAATTTTTTTCATGCTGCTATTTAACAGCCAAATAAATTAGTGTTGCTTTCTACTGATTCTTATTTTGAATAGGAAACCAATTCTATTTTGTGCAGCGGTGGCACCAAATTAAATAAATAAGGGGTCAGAACTTCTGGTGCCAGTGCAAGGGGATGGCTCTCATAACCATGACTTGGCTTACACAGCGCAACAGTCCTTCATGGATAGGCTAACCATGATGGGTTGTCGTGTGCTGAACATTCAGAACACTTGCCCCAGGGTGGATTATTTTTCATGAACATGAGTTAATAGAGAAGGGAAAAAAGAGCATGATTCAAGTTATTTAATTACCAAAAACATACTAGAAGTAAGACTACCTCATGTTGGCTCATCAGTAGTTTTCCCCAGAAATTTAAAGATATCTATTATAAGCTGAGTAACAACTTGACTAATAAGTACAAATGATTCAATCATCCAAATATTTAACTTACTGTATCCATAACAATTTCTACAGGATTAGTTTGACATTTTGCATTACTGTGGACCTCATCAAGTAGATTGTGGATGCCAGGTTTCCAATTATCAGTGAAAACTCTACAAGTGTCATTCATATAAGCAGAAGAATTGTGAGTCTTATGGGGGAACTTTTGCAACTTACCTTAGATACTGTAGCATTCCTGTGACCCTTTATTTCTATTACACTTATTAAATAATAGACAATGTCAGCTTAAAACAGCAACCCACAGTGCCTAGTTTAGATTTTAAGCAAGTTTTAAAAAGTAGAATTACCGGGAGGGTATCTGGTAAGTCATCATAACAGCATCATCTGTATTTGCCATCAGTAGCCAGATGGGATCCTGCAGGACATATTTAATAAACTGCTCACTTTCTTCCATTTCTGAGCTCTTGGTTTTATGATTGTTTTCTGAGGAATCGATGCTCCCGAAATACTTGCTGGTATGACTTGTCTCACTACTTCCTTCAGAAACGAAACACATACAACTTTAACACTGGAGACCAGATTTCTCCGTTTAGACACTCTCATAAATCATCAACAGCACACTTGTCTATTTTTACCTGTTCCACTACCTGACGTGCCACATCCATTTGAACCTGATCCTAAAGACTCAGCAGCTGCTGATGCACCACTTCCTGATAAGGCAGACCCAGTGCCTGAACTTGCATCTTCCTGAAGTAAAATATCAAGTATATCGCTGGATACAGAGAAGGCATCACTACTTTGAGCTTCCATCGGAAATTCAACCTTATCAGAACAGAAACAGCTGTCAGTCTAAAAGATTAAGGAAAGTCCTTTTATCAAAACATGTTGCATGGGGCAGGTTTCACAATATTTAGTTACAACTTGGTGGAATAGGACAGAAACAAGATTAAGGCGTTAGGACTTTTTTTTACAGCTATTTGAACTCAAAGAAATTGAGGGGGATGGAAGTCATATTCTGATCATAACTCCAAATAATGTAGATTTACCTTTAGAGTCTTTCTTTGCCTAAAAACAGAATGCCTAGATGTGTGGTGGACTCTCCTTTGCTGAAGGCATTCAAAATTTGGTTATGTATGCTTTAGTTCTAGACTTCCTACACTGATCAGGGAGTTGGGCTAGAGGGCTTTCAAAGTCTCTTCCAACTTGAAGGGCAATGATACTAATGAAGGGTAGACATAACTTTATGTTGAACTTTATGTTAACAATGGAAACTGCTCCAGAGTGTTTCAAGCAGAAAGCTCCCCTGTGACTATTATTAAAAATCAGATTTTACTTCCAGAAGGTGATCTAGGATTTAAGAGAAAAAATGCAGTGGCTCTCAAGTTACATTTTTCTGCTTAGGTATAGACACCTGAGTACAAAATAGCACACAGATGTCAGTTGTGGAAGTCATGTGTGTTTAAGATGCAACTGTTTTAGCTTTTGAGAGACATGGGCAAACTGGAAAGAGTGTGGTAAATGGCAACTTATTTGAATGTGCATCATTCAGAACCAGTGTCATACACAATGTGAATACAGCCCACAAGAATGTATGGTGAACTGTGAAGAGATTGATTAAAAGAAAATTTTAATCAACACTGTCCTTTATACAGATATACAGAAGTTTCTAGAACAGGAATGGGGAACTTTTTTTGTTCTGAGGGACTGATTGAATTTTGGAGACGCTCTCAAACACCACAGGCAAAAGTATCTGTGTGTATACATAACAAACAAACAAAAAGAAAAAGAAAAAAAATCCAACAAACCCCAAACCCAATTTCATGGATACCAGTTTAGGGCAGGAATCATGTCTACTCAGAAAAGCAAGTTTAATCTCATATATTCAGAAGTAATAGACTGAATCACTCAGCAGCCTTCTCAAGTATCAAGTATGTCTACTCAGAAACAAGCAAACTCCTGCAGGGGAAGCAGGACTCAATTGCTCAGCTTCCTCTTCTATCATACAGGGAAAACTTTTTAATTGCAATCAACTGCTGACCAGAGGTAACAACTCCCCCCCCCACCCCCCGCTGGAGCGGTTGAGGCCAGGGGATGAAGCTGGTGCGCTGAACTGAGAATCTAGTAACGTCCACAGGCTGCAGATTATGCATCCCTGCTCTAGAATTAAAATCTGAATCCTCAACTGTTCATTTTCATCTCTGAGAGACAAGTGAAATTGTCAAGTGCTCCATGCTATTCCATTTCCTGACCTGAAAGGTATCAAAGGGGTCATTATGCCTCAGTCTAACGAATAATCACCAAAAGGATATCCGAAATGGAAGGTTATTCAACTTTGCACTAAAACAGCATTTCTTTGACTTCAGTCATACTTAATAGATATTTTCCTGTACCAGGAAACAGTTCAGTGTCTGCCACTATAGACTGATAACTTCCCATAGTGGAAAAGTGAAATAGTACACTTTTTAAAGAGTTCCCCACATGTAGCATAAATGGATATAAGTACTTTTTCAACACAGGCATTTTCCAGGAAATTACAGAGAATGCTTACAGGGGAGGATACTTTTCTGTTACAGTCATCTGAACTCATGGGTTTGTTTGTGGTTCCTCCATCGGCTAAAGTTCCATAGTTCCCCAGCATACTGGCAGCTCCACTTTCAGTCACTTTTGGCATTTCTTCTAATTGTAGAAGGTTCAGCTGTAGAGGAGAACTGCACCGTGACTGGAACAATGGTGCTGAAGCCTGGTCTTGTGGACCCAGAGACTGAGGAGTGCAGGAACGGGAGGGTTCATTTCGGGATTCTATAACACGGGTCTTTTCACTATGTGCTGATGGATTATAATGGAATGGTTCTGTCTGAAAAATAGTCTGAGGAGGGAATGTGTTTGAGGCATTGAATGGAGTCTGTGCTGTAAACGGTGCTTGTGAAGAGAAAGAAGGCTGAGCAGAAAAGGTAGGTGGATCAGGATAAAGTGTTTGAGGGATACCATTGTTCACCTGAGGATACACATAGTTGGGGAGTACAAGTGCTACCACCGGAGTCACTAGTGGTGCAGGGAATTGCGATAAAGGCAATGGACAATGATTTCCCAAGTCCGGTGATTCATTCAAACCAGAAAGAGAAGTTTCAGGACCTGGGTGAACATTTCCAGTGGGTGGAAAAACTGGGAGTGTATATGCAGGCATAACTGCAGGAAAAGGCATGGCAGAATAACTGGCTTGGGAAGTATCTGATGGAGACCAAGCGGTATTATTTAAGCCCAGCAGAGGAATCCTGTGTGGAGGTTTGGTACCAGAAGTTGTACTATCTGAAGATTCATGAGGCTTATGTCGTTTTGACTTAGATTTCCTGTTCTTCCCACTTTTTTTCCAAGACTGATCTATTCCAGAGCCATGCTGCAGTCCATGCATACCTAAAGCAAGTGTGTGAAAGAAAGAGAGGGATACTCAACATCTCTACTTTTTGTTTTCCATTTTTAAAATAAGAAGCAATATAACTTTATATCTCCTAGATAGCTTTTCAGGTTTTACAGGTATAAATTCTTCCTTATACATTTCTCCCTACCACTTGATTGCAGAGAGATTACTTTGTGCACATGATTTTTTTCTTCTTATGTTCCAAGACGGAGTTGGTGAACACTGGCTCAAATCAAGTGCCACTTTGCTCTCAACACACTTCAGACCCTTTTCACATTATCACTGCAACCCATGAGTAACTTATGGTGGGTTATGCTACCCACAGTGGTCAAATTGCTGATCTAGGCGTATGCCAGTGCTTTTCATCATGTGGGGACCTGGTGAAAGGTGCCTGCTGGGACAATGGATAAGCCAGTCAGAAGCCATTGGCTATGTTACGGTTGTGGGTAGCAACTCATCCTTTTTGGGTTTACATATAACAAGAAATTTTGATGTACCCTGCTGCTCTAATAATGCTACCACCATAATTAAATCAGGGAAATTCATCTGCCTCTTGTTATATGCAAATCAAGCCTATATTTCTTTCATTGCCAAAAGCTTTTCTAAATCTATGCATAGGAACAATAAAAGGCAAGAGAAATAATACTCATTCCTTTGCACAGGAAATGGCCAATCATGCCTCTAATAATCTTGACGAAGATGGGAAAAACTATGCAACTTAAAGAAACAAATGTAATCTCTCATTCATCTTCTTAACAGCTCTGGAGGAGGGACTTCAGCTTCTAGTAGTGTGCGCAATATAATCCCAAGTCAGCTATAGTTTACAATTCTAACTAAACTTAGGTAACCACATTAAAATGAACTTTTTCTGGTCAGAGATTATATAACGGTAAATGTCATAAGGCCATAAAAAGAACAGTACCATGTTCACCACGCTGTCCCTTGGGTCTGTCTTGAAAGTAGTAATTGCAATGATATTGAAAAATATGGAATCTTTTAATTTCTTTACATTTGTTCAGAAAGCTCTGCTCTTCTTTTTGTGTATGCACTGCAAGGACTTCTTTTGTAAGTCCCAATTTTTTAAAGGCCTCTTTTTCCTGGTTCTTTTGTGCAGTGCTAGATTGTTGATTTTCTATGGGTTCTGTTCCACTGGGACCATCTTCTATTATTTCTAAAATAAAATGTAAAATATATTTTAATTTTTTCATCTTATTTTCATCTGATCAGAGCTCTTTTCTTTCAACAGAACATTAATATTATCTGTCTAACCACCTTTCTTGCACTTCCACAGGAAACAGAAATTAATGATTCCTACAATCAAGTTTATTAAAACCCTACTTTTAATAGTAATTGCAATTCTACCCCATAATAAAGTGGTACCATACCTAATTCAGGTTGCGTTTTTTTGTCTCCAACATGAACTATAGTGCTGCTGTAGCTGCATTGACTGGTAAACGATACAACACTTTCTGGCTTTCCAGGCAAAGTCAAAGAAGTTAGGTGGCCACCAACAACAGAAGCGTTTGATTTGTCAGGTGACTCCAACACTGTAGGGCCGATGTGAGGTTTTGACAGCCCACTTTCTTCTCAAATAGTAATACAATAAAAATGCCACACAGAGAAAAGAACAAGAATGAATGGAAACTTCTCAAACACATAAAACATGACATTGGGTGAACAGCATGTTTTGAAAGGTGAAAAATAATCCCCCACCCCCAGCTAATGACAAGGCAGGAAAGAGTGACGTCTTTTAAAAAGTGCATTTTTCCAACATCTTATAAATGATCTTCAAAGGTATCAGCTTTCTTTTCCACTTAACTGGTTTGTCAAATATTTTTGGATTTACACAGCTTCTAACATTGTCATCAACAACTAAACACCAACTTGGCCATATCTTTTGGCTTGTGGGGCTATGGAGCATAGAAAGGGCAACAATACAAGCACAGCTGTCACTCATTTTACAAATGTCATCAGTAACAATTTGCCAGTATGGTGGGGATTGATACTTTCCTTACCACCAGTTTTTCCAAAGAAAAATGTTTCCTGGGTGGGCACAAGAAAACATTCTTCCATTTGTATTTAAAAATTTAATCAACTATAATCTACTTTGTTCATTGTTAGATGTACTGCATTAACACTTTTCAAGCACGTGTGGCTCACGTCTTTAAATTACTGCTTTGTCAAATCTGTTTCTAAGGCAGGAACAATACAGAAGCAAAAGCACAGAGTGAATTTTTGCACTAAAAGTTTCTTGTTTTTTATTTAGCTACTGTTTAGCTTGTTAAAACTTTCACTGTGATATCATATAATATCATATATTTGGTATAACTTCATATTTCCAGGACTGAAAAGATGAAGAGATGACACAAGACTGTGTCTTAATGTGTACTGTAGTATCTAGTTCTGACTTATGAAAAGCAATTCTACAAGGTAATTCTTGGTTGAATCACACCGACACTTGATTCTGCAGTCCTAAATATAAAAAGGAGTAGACTCCATGGAGTGCATAAGACTTATTTCCAAGTAAGCATAAACAGGATTTCACTGTGAACCTTTTAATCAGTAAAGCCCTAGAATACCTGTGGATGTTTCAATGGTACTATCCATTTTCTTTCTGTGTATTTCAGGATTAAGTGAAACAGTGCTTGATGTAGACTGAGGCTTTTTCTTCACTTCATCAGCTGCACTGCAACTTTCCAAATACCTACAAGCAAGAGCAAAAATAAAATTGTAAAATAAAATTGTAGTTTAAAAAGGAGCAGTCAGTTACAGATAACTAGTGTTTTATTGACATTTACTGTTGCCTACCTGATAACACTATCTAAACAACTAATCTGTTGATATGAATATGCAGGCTGCTCCCCCCAAGCCAGTTCTTCTGCAGCCAGGTTCCTTTGACACGCAATTCCAACAGCATTATCGTTTTCAGCTGACTGAGCTGCGCCTTTCGCAAGGGCACGACAATCACTGAGTTTCTCTGTGTAATACAAAACAAACAACTCATACATTGTTTACATAGTGGTCCTTCACAGTAACCATCCCACGATGGTGGGATAGGGAACTTTTTGAGGACCACATTCCCTTTAGAAAACCTTCTAGCCATGTGTCAGAAGTAGATGCTTCCCCACCCCAAAGGTAAGCAAGCTTAAAACTAATGTGAGTGGGACCACCCTTTAATCCCTTTCATACACATGTATTCTTACACATAATGCACACCACAGCTATACAGAATGTACACACACCCATTCATACATCCTCATAGACACAGACATAAATAAACTCTCCACTTCAAAATGCCTCTCTGTGTGATTCAGGCTTTAAAAGTCTAACTGAGCCTATATGAAGTGTAGTGGGAGGAAAGGCCATGGGCTGTGTGGGGAGGGCCATATCCAGCCCATCAGTCTGTCCCTGCTATTACAGAACGAACTAGAGCCAAAAAGCTATAACTCAAATTCAGATGGAACTTTAGACTGAGCACATGGCAATTCCCAACCTGTGGCAAGTTGTACAAGTGGGGATGGACTACCTGCATTTCACCATATAGCATGTGAGATGTTCCCAGTTAAAGATAAACAATAAGAGTGAATCTTAAATTTACTGTTGAATTATTTCAAACTTTTGAAAAACTGACTTCATTAGCATACCTCCGTAAGATTTCTTCTGATTTTCAAGCTTTGACCTGGAGTCAACGAACGCATGCTCCCCTTTATTTTTGGCCACACGACCATTTTTACAAATATCTTGAGAAGAATTCTGCAGCAAAGAGAAAAACAGTCAGTCAGTGAAAAGCTTTTTACATTAAGCCATACCTGCTCAATGCTTACGGGGAGAACCAGTGAGAGACATTAACACTCTATGTAACATTTCTATTAGCGAAATCCCCGGGGCCAATTTCCATTAGACTGTAACCATTAATACAGTGAAAATCTCACAGGCTTTGGTATCCTCTGTGTATCCTCATTATTGTTCCCGTTGCTGTCACTGGATGAAGCCACACTCATTAGGTGTTCATGCGACCCATTGCTCCCCAAGCTTCCGTAGCCGCTAGAGCCACTGTTATGCACAGGCTGAACATAAATGGATATATTTGTTAATAAAGAAACAGAGAACATTGCTAGCCAGAATTTATGCAGCCTTCAGATTTTGTATATTACGATTCGTCTGAATCAACTAAGGAATAAATCAAGCACTTCTGTTCAAGAAGTATGTTTTGTATTGTAACCACAGAACTGCCTTAATAGAGACTTCTGCACAGGCACAAGCACTGAATCAACTGGAGGCATGCTTGCTGTAATGAGTAAGGAGGCTTTTTGATAGTTACTCCCAGTCCCCAAAACTTCCTGCCTAGAGAGGCCAGGCTAGTTCCATCTCCAATATTCTTCTCTTTAAATAAAAGTGATGTCTGTTTGGAGTGGCTTTTGGCCTTTTAAGACAATTTTACTGTCATTGCTGCTGACTGCCTTGATCATCACATATGGTGGAAAGGTGGGGCAGGCCAGAATTCTAAGAATTAGTGTGCACAACAGTGTGGATGCTTAAATTACAGATATTTAACATTGCATCTTGTTACATTCTGTTGGAGACGCCATAGGATTATTCAGGTTTATTTTTTAAATTAAAAGAAAGTGTACCTGCAATAATAACCGATGTATTTGCTCTGTAATTTCCTGAATGCTTGGGTGAAGAATTTTTTCCTCCGTGCAATGAGGTGCAAACACATCTTCATTCAAGGGACCTCTGTAAATGTCATTAATAATATTCAGAATGTGAAATGCATTTATTCCACTTATATCAGCCCTCATTTTATAGCATCTACAAACTTTTAAACTGTTAAAAGATTTTGGCCTACTCACTCCAAACTTCCTCATTCTGAAGTTACTCTTGACAAGATTGGATACATTTGCAGCACTTACAAGTTTCTTGTTAAGTCCACTTGCTATACAGTACATACTTACAGGAACAACTTGAATTATTATTTTTGGTAAGCTCCCTATATCAGTTCAGAAATAGGAATGCACATATATGCCATTTACTTGTATTTGAACTTTGACCTCTCTGTACGTTCCACAAATCCCCATGATTATCAGTCCTAAATATGCAGACACTAAAATGTCAGAGCTCTTCCAGTTGTAGTCAAATACCACCCAATTTCACATGACAAAAAGCTGAGAATCCTTATGGTCCAAATGTGGTTCCCTGAATGGGATGGGGAAGTCCGTGTGTCTATGAAGGGCAGCTAGTTTGACTCAAGTTTACTGCTCATTTATATGTTGCAGCCCCCATTCAGCCACACTGCTACAACACCTCCACACAGTGGCCATACTGTGTAGCTCGGCTTGCCCACAAAAATGCTCCACACTGGATGGATGATCTCCATGAGTGTGGCAAATGGGGATGTTTTCCACTTTTTTTTATTTATTTTTTTCCGATTTATATCCTGCCTTTTTCCTACAAAGGGCTTAAGGCAGCTTACATCATTCTCTTCCTCCTCCATCTTATCCCCACAACAACAACCCTGTGAGGAAGGCTGGGCTGAGAGTCTGTGACTGGACCAAAGTCACCCAGTTGGTTCCATGGCCGAGTGGGGACTAGAACCCAGATCGCCTGAGTCCCAGTCCCACACTCTTAACCACTACACCACACTGGCTCTCAGCACATCACGTGAGGTGCTGTCTAGCACAGCTGGTCTGTCTTATGGGGCAAGGGGAACATGGGAGCAAGGGGAGAGTGCTGTTGCACTTATGTCTTGCTTGTGGGTTTCCCATGGGCATTTCACTGCTCACTGTGTGAACATAATGCTGGACTAAATGGACCCTTGGTCTAATCCAGCATATCTCTTATGTTCTGTTTACTTCCAAAGCAGCAATTCTCAAAATTGCTACTTGGGTGCATGGCTTTTTAATACAGAGCTGTATGAAGGGCTCAGTCCAGATCAGAACTAATTGTATGAATGGCTTCTTATCCAGTTGAGCCTTAAGAGGTATATTCTAACTCTTAAGAGTTGGTAGGGGAGCAAAGGAGAAGAGAAAGCAATGGTCTGCAAAAAGTTGTAGAAATTTGTTTCAAGCATGACATTTGACCGTATGTGTCAGTTTCAACAGGCCTCCTGCAAATCATAATGCAAGAGTTTTTATTTTTATTACCAATTACCATGTACTTACGTTCTAACTTTGTGTCTTCCGATTATAAAGGAAATCTTTCGACTCCAAGGATTGATGAAACTGGACCAACTAGTATCCAGAGTTATGTATTCACCATTTCTAGTGCAGAACCTGATTGGTGAGTAATCAAACGGCTGTCCACCACACTGAAGTACTGTAACAAAAACATCATTCTCTTATATATGACTAATATATAGTTTCAGAATTAACAACTGTGGGAGGTCTGGGGGTGATTTTTGTTCTCAACACAGCCTTAATGTAACCCCTCCCCCACACACATAAATACATACAACGAAAATAAAGAAAGAAATCCATAGCAGCTATAGAATCCAAAGGATTAAAATTTACTAGTTTTCAAGCTAATTTTGGCTACTCTTCTGCCATTATAGATGCCATTTTACACCTCCCCCGCCAATTCTGTTAGAGTATTGCCCACTCAGATTGCAGGGGTGGGGAGGGGAGAACACAGATATTTAAGGGGTTCCTTTGATTGGAGAAGGTTATTCTTGTTAGCTTTAACATCAGCATACAGGGTTGAAGTAACAAATGATGGCCAGTATCTAGGAAAATTAGTTCACAAAATTATAGAATACAGTATACTCCCGCGAAGTCGCGGTTCGTGTTCGCGGCTTCAGTCTTTCGAGGGATTTTTCTCCAAGTGAGTCCAAGCCGATCTCCTTGCGAGTAAGCCGGTGCCTCACCGTGCGGCGGCTTACTCGCAAGATCATTTCCTCGGAGTGTGGACTCGCTTGCAGAAAATGATTTCTGTACGTACCCCTGCCTTGCCATACTTGTGCCCTCCCCGCAGCCTGGCCCAGGCCTCCCGCCCGCACCGCCTTGGCAGTTTTTCACAATTTGCGGGTGCTTTAGGAACGTAACCTCCGTGAATTTCAGGGGACTACTGTACTAGAGTTTGAAGGGGCCATGAACAAGCGAACATACAAAGTTTCTTGTACTGAAACAGAGTCCATCTTAACTTGGTCTTATCTGTTGTAGCTGGTGACAGCTCTCCAAGGTCTCAAAGATGTTTCCAGTCACTTGCTACCTGCTCCTCTCAACGAGAGCTGCCAGGAGCGGAATCTGGCACCTTCTGCATGCAAACCACCTACTAAATCACTGAGCTAAAAGGGTCTTCCCAAAAGTTTTTGATCTTTAAGACTATAATAAATTTAGATCGTTAAGACTATAAATGGTCAAGGACAAGGGTCAGTAAGGCAATGACTGTTTCAACACAAAGCTGCTTCATTCCTTTATCATCTGAGGTTTGCTGAACTCCAACAGTGCACATTCACTGAGAGATGAAGATGGATGGTCCAAGGACAAAGAGTAGGGAGATTGGTACTCTAATAATTTCAGCATAATTTTCTCAAGATGACCAAGGCAGGGAAGGGAAGGGAAATTAGTATATCTGAAATTATCTAATATTCATAATGAATGAATTACTTAGGTTTCTTAAAATGCTATGAAGATCCTTCACTTTCACTGTGCTGGCTTTCCTTATCAACTGCCTCCTGCCCTTTCAGAAAAAAAAAAAAACAGGCTACCTAAAATTGAAAGAACCTACTTTTTTTGTGAATTGCTAGCATTAAAGGTCTGTCACTTGGATGAAGATGCACTAAGACTGGTGTTCCAATTAAGTCCTGCGGCAAGTATCCCAGCAGAGGTACCGCTCTTAAAAAAGAAAAAAATAATAATTATGAAGCAGAATACATGTACACACAAATCAATTTGATTTCATTTATGTTACATGTGAATGAGCACAGGATAAGGCATTGTGGTATTGCATCAGGATTAATTCCTCAAGCAATATGTAGAGCCAAAAGATGAAGTATTACTACTACTACTGCAGCATTTAAACCCTGCCTTGCTTCTTCTTGAAAGAACCCAAAGCAGCTTACAAGGTTCTCCTATTTAGCTTTAGTATTCTTTTTTCAATGGCAACACTTACATAAAAGGTAATTTATTATACAGCATATAACCTTCTAAAACAGCCCATAGCCATATTAGCTTGGGCATGATGACAGTTGCAGCCCAAACCATACTATAAAATGTCCACCTGCCTATTCACACTTACTGCAAGGGTCCCAGAAAAAAGTGAGTTACAAATCTTCTCTATTGGCAAGCAGTGACAAAAAAGCCTGTAAGTTCATTTCTAAGGCCAGAATTGCACTGCATTATGTCTTTAAAAACATTTCAAGTAATTAGGTTGTACGCTGATGTCTCCTATTTTTAATGTAAGAGAAACACAGAACTAGAGGTTTTGGCACAGGGGCGGCATAGAAATGCTATAATAACAACAACAACAACAACAACAACAACTAGCCCCAAGAATGCTTTTTTCTTTCTATTAGTTAGCCTCAGTTTTCCAAACACATTCAGGAAGACTCATAAGCATTATGCACATATCTCCCCTGCTTTCATACTTTAGTCAACTTGCACTTTAATATAAAGGTACTCGTAAGTTAGAATGTTTAATGTAGTAATTCTAGTTTACCTTTCATCTATATCTTGGAACAAACAACCTGGCGTATGCGTGGTTGTAAAGACTCTTTTATTTGGAGGAATTCTAGGTGCTGAAACAAAGTAAGTATGAAATTTAGTACATGAAACCAGCATACATTCATAAACCAGACAGCTATTATTCCATGTGATTAGCTTGCTCACACACATATAACCAGTAGCAAATATCAGTGCACAAGCTACATTTGCAGGTTTGTTTTAGTTCTGTGGAGCAATTTAAAAAGGTAGCACATGTGTGCAGCTAATACATAAAAAAGGAAACTATTAAATATTATTTGAATCCATTGGAAAAGCATACATAAAATGCAGTTAAACCTTTAATTCCTGTTCCTTTTATTAGAATTAAACCTAACTTTCAGTGGATTGTACACAGAATGTTAGAGCAAAATGGCAGCCTGCCATCACTACAGAAAAGATGGCAACAAAGAATGTGACAAACAGTACAGCAGAAGTGGGGGAGTTTCCATTCAGATTTGTTTAGATGGTTAAGTTGCACTCCTAACCACATTTACTAGGGAATAAGTACTATTGAAACCAATGGGACATAATTCCCAGTAAATATGCATATTATCAAGCTGCCAGCTTCCCTTCCACTTAAATATGGTTATGAAAGGGCTGGAAGAATAATTATCCTCAGATACATAGGCTGACCTACAAAGTACAATAACCTTTCACACAGAAGCCTCTCAGGTTGCTTCATCGCACAATTAGTGGTTTCTGCGTAACACTAAGCTATCTTCTCTTTCAAAAGAAAATAATCATACGTCATTATCTGTTCAGGTATTATTACCTTCATAACCAGAATGCACCTTTTCTGCAAGCAACACACAACAAAGCTGTTCTTCTGCATCTTGTGCTTTAATAAGGTACGGAGTCATACGGAATGGTTGGTAGCAGATCTCATTTATATGTTCTTTCCCTGTACTAAAAATTAAAAGTTAGGACAGATTAGTTCTGATATTTTATGATGAGCACCCAATATAGCAAATTATTTCATCTCAGCAAACTAGGGGGGGGGCTCTACAGCCATCCTTCTTACTACTCATGCCCTCTGAAAAGCAAAAGTCAAGGGCCAAAAGACAAGACTAAGCCCTTCCTCTGGAGGCACATGGAACCTCCCCACTTCCCTGTGATCCTGCACAAGGCCCTCTTTGGATCCTAGCCATGATTACAGCCCAGAAACAGCTTTCTGTGGTCACTTCTTAAATTGTAGTTCTATTCATCTTTTAATTTTTGATGTTATTTCTGAAGTTTGTTGAGGCACTAACCAAAGAACATGAATAGCTTCAAGTAAAGCATACATCATAGCCTTCTAAATACATATCAATGATTGAATATTAAAATTTTACCTTACCTAATGCGGCAGAAAAAAGATTTTTCTTCTATACACTCCTGGGTAGCAGACTCTATAAAAATATGAAAGGACTTCAGTAACAAAATTCAAACTTCATACTCTGAACAACAGCACAGTATAATTACACAGCTTAAAATGTAAGTAAAAGCTGAAATGTAGGAAGAACACAGAAGCTTCTGTTGGCTAGAATGAAAGAGTATGCATGGCTGGGGATAGCTGCCTTTTCACCGTGGCAGATCATTGGCCAGGGTGGCTTAACTGATGGGCCCATCCAGGGAAATGGAGTACCTTGGATCTAGCAAGGTTGAAGTTGGTCCTTCTATTATGGAGAAGCTTCAGACATATTAGCTCTCTGATATGCGTACTGTGCATTATAGAACTAATTGGCATTACCCTGACAGTAATTGGCTCAGTAATTTTCTTTTGCTGGAAGACTGAGCCTGAAAATGTATTAATGTAATAACTAAATGAATAAAAGCTGCCAGGAATAATGTTGAGGCTGTAGAACCTCCTCAGAGGCACAGGAGCTATATAATATCCTTACTTTCTCTTTGACTGAATTTAAAATTCCCTGAAACTAAGGAAAACATGCATATCAGTGCCTGACTGTCATGTCATCACCCCACTGACTAACTCACAAGGAGAGCATTGAACTGAGAACCAAAAGCCCTGATGAATAGAATGGCTCAGTCATCTAATGTCTCTGCTTCCCAGACAGGTATACTCAATAGCTGAACTCCAGTATCCTCAATAACATCTTTTATCTTGAATACTTGCTACATTATTTTACACTACAGAGCATGATCGCTCCTTTGTAAGTCCAGTGTATTTCTCCCATTGATGGCATTCAGTGAAGAGCCTTCCTTGACGATGTCACTGCATGGATAATATGTATGGGAAGAGGCAGTCCTTCAAGTATGTAAAACCCTAAAAAGCTTGAAACCTAACGGTGACAACCAGCATCTTAATTTGGGCTCACTAGTGAATAGGAAGCTTGTGTAATTCCTTACAAATCATTGTAATATGATACTATCTTAATGAAATAGGCAGAATTCTAGTCACTGTATTTTGTACAAGTTAAAGCTTCCAAACATTTCAAGGGTAGACCCACATACAATGTATTAAATTGGTTTTTTAATGTTTTATTTTGGTCTGGTCTCTGACCATAACAAAGATTTGTTGTTGGTGTTGTTGTAATATAGTAATCCAACTTGAATCAGCATCAGTCACCAGTCTTGTATTTGTCCTAGAAACAATGAAGTGAACCAAACCAAAGCTGGTAAAAGGTACTCCAAACCATTCAGGCAATTTGCATGTCTAGGAACAAGACTGAATCAAGAAATGCCTCCATGATGTACACCTGTTTCATCCAGGACAGGTTGAACACTAATTTCCTGCACCCAGGAAGCACCAATTTGCGGTGCCAGCATTTTGCCAGAATTCAGAACTGCACTGGATAAATGACTGGCTCCAAGGAGAGGGTTTTGGGTTAAAATATATTTTTGCAGATGTTGAAAATTTTAATCAACTTACTTACCTACTCCATTGCAAATACTCCAGGATGGCAATCTATATGGAGTGGTAGAACTATAAAACACACTAACATCTTGAGGTGCCAGAAACTCCACAAATTTGGCATTTTTAAAGCGGTCTTTCTTACAATGGAGAATAGAAGCAGCCTGATCAGAAATATACAGAATTTTCCCAGTAACCAAAGAAACGGCTACTGCAAACATATCCTGAAATGATACGTATTCAGGTAGTTATTTTAGTCTGGAGAAATGTTAAGTCTTGTAAGGCATTAAAATTAATTCAACAGCATTTTCTGTTCACAATATAACAGATATATCTAAAATATTTGAAAGGTAGCAGTTCAGTAGGATTTACAATTCATGTTTCTAATTTCTTAAAATTGTATCCTGCCTTTCCTCCAAGAAGCTCAAGACTGAATATAATAGCTTCCTGTACCCAATGGAACCTTACACAAAATTTTGAGGGACATATTAAACCAAGGAAGAGTTGAGTTAGAGTCATCCATTAGGTCAATGACTGAGTGGGGATTTGAACCTGCATCTCTGCAGCTTAAATCCAACACTCACGCCACTACACCATGGTGACTCTCCTTTAACATAGAGTATTCTATTACTAGATTTCAGAAATGATATAGACTATGGAACATTACAATTGAAAACAAAATAAAAACATCCCAGTTCAGCTTGAAAAATAAATTGCACAAAAATACTTACTGCATTCTTCATAATGTACTCTGTAGTAATATTTTCAACATCTTCCACAGTATAGGAGAATACATCAAGACTGCAAGGATGGCTTTCATTAATCATCATCAACTGGTAATATTCTTCGTTAGCTACATGAGAACAAACAAGGTTTACCTTTCAAGCAACACTGTTAAATTCACTCCAGTCACACTGAGTAATGATAAAATGTCTTCCATTTAGAACAGCAAATTAATATTTCTTTTCTTCTAACTAGCAGCAGAAAAGAGACAGTCTATTCAACAGTTTTCATGACCTTAATAATATTTTCCTCTGCTTCAAAAAATCTAGTCCTACTAATTAACACTTATGGAGAACCCTGAACTGACTGCAGGGCAGAGAGTTTGTCTTTAGTCTGCTCTTCCATGAATGCTGGAAAATGATACATGAGAAGATCCATCTCCCATTGCCACTCCTGGAGAAGAAATATATGCAGCTCCTTTGTGATTCGAAGTCCTGTCTCGGTAACCTTTTAGAGTTCTCCGAGTGTATGTTGTGTGCACAGGGGAAATCTAACAGACATTGTTTACTCAGAGTTCCAAAGGGCTTTTGACAAAGCCCTTCACCAAAGACTCCTGAGCAAACTTAGCGGTCACAGAATAAGAGGAGAGGTCCTCTTATGGATCAGTAATGGTTATGGAACAGAAAGAAGAGGGCAGAAATAAATGGTAATTTCTCTTCATGAACAGTGAGGTTCCATAGGTTCTGTATTAAGACCATTTTTTAAACGTATTCATAAATGATCTGGAGGCAGGAGTAAACAACGAAGTTGACATCAAACTATTTAGGGTGGTTAAAACCAGAGGGATTCTCGTGGTAACAGCACCTAAATTGTTGAAAAAAATAGAAGACTGTGGAGAAGTTACGGGGATGAAAATAATTAGAGAAAAGACTAAATTATTAGTAAAAAGATGTATGTTGAATCAAAGATTCAACCTTGATGGAACAGCAGATCTTCAAATAGCGAAAAATGTTAAATATCTGGGAATCCACTTAACAGCTAGATGCGCTACAATGAAACAAGACAATTACATTTCCAGGGCAGACTTGGAAAAATGTTCTAATTTAGAAGTACCATTGTTGGAAAGAATAGCTATAGTTAAAATGAATATACTACCTAAGATTTTGTTTTTATTTCAAACAATTCCCATAAAAATTGAGAAAAAGTGTTTTTGATGATTTAAATACACAAATTTCGAGATTTATATGGCAAAAGAAGAAACCAAGAATGAAAATAAAAATGCTCCAGGAGGCCAAAAGGAATGGGGGTTTTGGCCTCTCAGATTGGTGGTTGTATTATCAAGCATGTGTGCTAGTGTGGCTAAAAGAATGGAAAACATTAAGGAACAAAAGGATTTTATATCCTGAAGGTCACAACTTACAAATGGGTTGGCATGCTTTTATGTGGTATGAGAAGTGTAAAACTCATGGGTATTTTCAAAATCACTAAAATTTATAATAAGATACCGAGATGGTTTTCTCCTATGGAAGCTTTTGTATACCCAAATGCATTAAATTTCAATAAGATTGTGACTTATAATGACATCTTGGACAATGAAGAAAAATTGAAATCAAATCAAGAACTTCATTGATCTTTCTTGGTGGCATTAAACACAGATAAAATTGAGACATGTTAAAGATTTTAAAATGTATGGGTTGTATAAGGAACAAAATACTTTTGATCAATTAATTTTAAAATCAGATAAAAATGAATGAAAGATTGTATAATTTTCTCTTAGACATGAAAATGGAAGATGAACAAGTTAAAGAAACAATGATAATATGGACACAAAGCTTTGGGTATAACATTGAATTGCAGAGGTGGCAAAAGTTGTGGGAAAGAAAGTTAAGATAACTTTGGCAACTTCCTATAAAGAAAACTTGTATAAAATATTTTATAGATGGTATCTATCGTTCAACAGATTAGCTAAAATGTTTCCAAACATGTCAAATAAGTGTTGGAAGTGTAAACAGAAACCTGGTACCTTTCATCACATGTGGTGGACTTGTGATAAAGCAAAAAAATATTGGGTTAAATACATAGATGGCTTGGGGAAATGATACAAAGATATGTAAAGTTTAAACCAGGAATATTTTTGTTAGGTATTCTCCCCGCTGATCTTGATAAGCAAAGTATATATTTGACTTTATATGTAATAACAGCAGCAAGGATCGCATATGCACAATGTTGGAGAAATGAAGAGCTACTGGCTGAAGATTTGATCTTGAACAAGATATTGGACTGTGCAGAAATGGATAGACTGACTTGATCGCTTAAGAAAAAGAAGATACAGTTTACTACCAAACATGGGGCTTTTTCTATCAATGGCTACAGAATCAGAACTCTAATATGGGCTAAAATACATAGCATTTGTAGAGAAATACGACTTTGTGCACAGTATGTTTGAAGTCTTCGGAATAATTATTTGTTTAGTGAGTAGAAAACAATAAAACTTTAGAACCTAAAAACAAAAAACAGAAGGGATTCTGAGGTGCTCTAGAGGGATTTCTTCAAACTGAGAAAATAAGCATTAAAATGGCAAATGCAGTTCAATTCAAGCAAGTGTAAAGTAAATGCATGATGGTGCGAAAAGTCTCAACTTCAAGAATAAACTTCATCAAAGATGAAGGAAGGTGCTTTCAAGAGCTGCTCTACTGACTCTCTTTCCTTGCTTTTCTTCTTGGATGTAAAATAATGTGTCATTTAATATGTCCATCAAATTTTGCAGTAGGGTTAAAAAAAGTTGAGCAGAGAGATGTTGTCCTCCTCCCATATAGTCTCAGTTAACTCGGCCTACCTAGCAGCTAGAGGAAAACACATACCTATAGCTCCCATACAACAGAGGGGTGCATGAGAGAGGGAGAGGAATGAAATAACATTAAAATGGAACAATTAATATAAATTGTACTATGCAATGCTATCTATCAATATGCAATATATGTTCATAGTGGATGAATGCTAAAAAAAGACCCTTTCCTTCTCTTTTAGCTGAAAATGTAAATACAAAGAAAAGGCTAGGTCATTCATACTAGGATATTAAGAAACATAAAGAACCTTCTGTTTTATAAAATAACTTCCTACTATAGCTTGGCAATGTAATTTTAATTTCCCTATTGTCAACAGAAATGTTTGATATGGTTACCTTTAACTTGTTTAATGCTCCTCAGTGCATATTTCAGAGTTGCTAAAATACTAGATTTGCCTTTGAGCCTTCTATCAGGAGGAAGATGCCCTTTCAGTTCTTGCAATGTTTTTATCAGTTCCTTTTGGATTTTAGATTTAGAAGACAGTTCAGTGCTAGACAATGAACAAAATAATACACATGCCATTTTTTACTTAGCAAAGAGCAAGTTTTAATGTTTATTAAGCAGTGAAATGTTGAAGGTATACTATTCTCAAGACAATTGAGATTTTCCATTTCTCCTTTATGCAGACTTCATGTTTGTAGCATGGGGATCTAAAAATTGTGCAATATGCTAATTCTTCAGTCATCTGTAAATGGGTTATGTTATTCTAAGTCCTCTCTTCTGCTGAGAGGAGTTCCAAAGGCCCCAGACCTGCGAAGAGAAGAAAAACTCTCCAGAGGCCTGCCTGTCTGCCTACTTATGAATCGAAAAACAGGTACCACCTGGCATGGAGACACAGCAGGGGCTTGCTCCTTTTTGGGGAACCACTTCAGAGGGAACACAAGGGCAAGCCCTCCCCTCTAAACATTATTGCTGTTCTCTGTGCTGGGTGTGGGGGGGAGTCCCTACTCTTTACAGGCTCTGAGCATGTACAGTGAAGGAAGGGGGTGGGACCAAGTGAAGGTCCAGAAGAGGTTATTTTTAATGTTTTCAGCATCTGTTGCTGGAGCGTTGACTTGAATGATGGTTATGTTGACAGGTCTTCCAAGAATTCTGACAGAATTAATAAAGAAAAAGCTGTAGCATGATATTTGAATTTTAACAATTCTATTATTTATACATTGTATCATTTAAAAGGTGCTAAGTTTTGTAAGATCAGCAAAACCTTTGTGTATCCAGGGGTGAAGAACATGCTTATTTTGCTTGTGCAGTTTTTTTTTCCTTTGCGATTTCATGGAATGACAAGGGATTGTGGAATTTAACTAAGCTCAACAGAATGTTCTTCCCCACTTAAATGCACTTAATATTAATTATAAGAATTTTTGTACAAGAAATTCATTGATAGCAGCAAATGAAAATTCTTTGGGAAAAGATAAGGTTGGGGAAGTCTATGCAATGGATATTTAACACAGTTTAAAGAGGATGTTAATTTAATTCACATGCAATTTTTCAATGCATGTTTAGACACTGAAATTGATATATTCAAATCTATGTAGTGACTTTTTTCCTTTTATCAAAATTTTAAAATTAAAAACAATCAAACCCTTGCTAGACTCAAAAGAAAACTTTAAAATGCAGTTGTCCAATGACCAAGTTCACACGATAAGTCATAGTTTATCATGGGTTATTTAACTCACAACAAGTCATAGGTGCCGGGTTGAATATGCAATCCTTGCTTGGAGGTTATTGTGTCATGAAAAACCAGTGAATGTGTGTTATGGGAAGGTTAAACAACCCTCCCATTACCCATGCCCACTGGGTTTGCACAATACAACAATCCTGAGTTGGAGCTGCATACTGAAAATGGCAGCTACTAGCACACCTTGGCTGCATCTTTGGTTAAATAAGGGATGCTGTGTAATACAAATGGCCCCAATGTAAATAGATTTATTAAAAGGTGCAAACTACAGACTCTCAGTGCAATAGTTGCAATCTCTGAATCTCAGCGCTTCAGAACAACTATTTGTTTCAGCGTCATGCAGTACCTTTTGTAGCAGTCTAACGATTCCATGATCATAGCTGTTTCTTTCCCATTTTCTTCACCCTCATTGCTGTGTGAATCATGCCCATTGAAGTAATTTTCATGGTTATCATTTGCACTTGATCCTCCATTCATCTCAATATCTTCTTGAAGAGCATCCATGGTTTTCATCTGAATGTCCATGTTTTCTACAATCATTTTATCATTTGCCATTTCCCTTGTAATCACTTATTCTGCGAAGTAACTTTAAAGTCAATGAATACTTTGCAATATTTTCACAGAGTTCAAATTGCTTTATAGAGTGCAAAGCCCAGTTCTTCAGTGAAATAGCAGAATGCTTTTTGTTAAGTAGTCAGCTGCACAGTATATACCCATATTTGTGTATTATTTGCATTCACAATGTTCAAATGTCAAAGCTGAGTTCATAAACCTAAAGGAGAAGAAGCAGATTGAATGAAACTGTTTTTTATTATGAAGTCTCCTAAAAATGGCATTTCAAAAGCAGTTACCACATTTTTCTAAGTAAATGCAGATGTATTAAGCAAACAGATTCAGGAACTAGCTTCTCTTCAACATTAAAAAAGCAACCTTGGAGTAGGGTTACAGGGGGCATGGAGAACACACTAGAGTGGTCAGAATACAAGCTTTCTTGAAGCTTGTCCATCCAACCTCCAAAATGTTTCAACTGGATGGGCAAAATTCATCATTATGTGCAGGCCAGGTCAAAATTTACCCCAATGTACCAAATATTTACAGACCCTAATTGCTGATTTTCCATACATTTTACTTTTTCTGTGTCTTCACCTTTCCTCTTCTCAACAGCAAGATTATCTGGTAGAGAATAGAGCTGCCAGGCTGCTGATGTTACTCTCACATAATGCCGGTTCTCTACCAGCTCCACTGGTTTCCAGTTGAAGTCCGGGCCCAATTCAAGGTGCTGGTTTTGACGAATAAAGCCCTAAATGGCTTGGGACTAGGATACCTGAAGGAATGTCTCCTTCCTTATATGCCCTCACGCCCCTTAAGATCTATGGGAGAAGCCCTGCTCCAGGAACCCTCTCAAAGAGAGGTAAAAAGGTCATCAACTTGGAGTAGGGCCTTCTCTGCTGTGGTGTCCAGACTCTGGAATGTACTTCCTAGAGAGGTACACCTGGTGCCAAGTTTATACTCTTTTTGGCACCAGGCCAAAACCTTTTTATTTAAACAGTATTTTTAAAAAAATTAACAGTTTTTAACCTTCAGTTGCTCTGTTTGTTTTGCGATTTATTGTTCTGTTCTATTATTTATTGAAATTGTTGTTTTAATTGTTTTTAAATATTGTAAGCCGTCCTGAGATCTTGTATAATAGGATGGCATACAAAAGCTTTTAATAAATAAATCTGTTTTCACCTGGAAAAAGACTTGCCATTTATAATGTTCCTGAACTATCAATAGTCATCTGTGCATGCGTGCATAATCTCTCTCCCTCTCTCTCACACACTCACCCTTAAACACTCTGAGTAATAAAAGTGAAGCAACAAATACGTAACATGTGCCTTTTAGCATACAATCGGTCTGTACTGAGAATTACACTCAGTCAATGGTGATGAATGAAACTATGAAAGACCAAAATATATATTCTCTGTTCTGCTCCTTCAACTTGCCTAAGGCAGTTTAGTAGCTGGGTCCTGGCAAATTCCAGATAATCTTGATATCCAGGGATTGTCCAGCATCAAACATTACTAATGTTCAAAGAAATCAAAAAGAGTTTCTAGTCATAAACATGCAATACAATATACTCAGCACTACGAAGGTACAAAACATTTTTATGTGGTGTAAAATGTAGGTTAAAACAAACACAAACTGGCTCTTCCTGCTAGCCTAAGTATTCAGCCTCCTTGCTATGACATGTTTAAATACGCCATGGTGCAACCAGAGATCAGTGAAAGTAGCTGAATGGTGCCACATGATCTCAAATTAAATATACCTGTTTCTGGCAAGCTCCAAAATTTGTTGCAAAGGATATCTAAACAGACACCATCATGAAGACCAAGGAGTTATTGAAAGAACTCTGGGATAAAATGATTAGAAGCACTAATTCCCTGGAGCATCATTAAATTCATTACTGCAAAATAGAAAGAATACGGCTCAATCCTGACTCTGGCTAGAGAAACTCAGTGACTAAGTAAGGAAGGCATTGGTCAGAGAAGCAACCAAGAGGCCAATGGTCAGTCTTGAAGCAGCTGGTGAAATCTGCAGCTGAGATAGGAGAAACTATTCATGGGACACCTTGGATGCTTCACTAAGCTGGGGTGAATACTTATGAGACTAACAAATTCTAGTTTGTTTTTGTTTATCTTCTGCACCACAATAGCAGTATTTTGTATCTTCACAGAATTGATATATACCTGAAATGTTAACAATGCCAATTAAATCAATTTCAATTCCAGGTTGTAAAATAACAATGTAGAAAAATCAAAGGGTGTGTGTGTGTGTGTGTGTCAGTGTGTAAATATGATCATATACCTGCATCACGCAGAAGTTAAATTGAACAAGAATTATGTAACTGACAAGTGGTCATTCCAAGCAATACATTATTTCTGGGCTAAGCAGAATTGGTTTAATTTTGTAATTCTTGAACAAAGAACATAAAAATTCTTTTCATAATGAAAATATCCCTGAAACTGTTTAGTTCTAGCAAGAACATTCAAATATTGTCTGTAATTCTGTTTTAAAGTTATTTTGCCTTGCCAACAGGCAATGAGCAGATTAACACAGAATGGTGCAACACCAAATATTTTGCAGGAGCAAAGGTCAGGCTGGGGCAAAGGTTTCCTCCTTATTTTTGCCTTTCCATGCAGGCTCAGTGGACTGCTGCTGCAGTGCTTTTTTCCTCTGCTGGGAGTAGTGAAGTCATTAAGTTGCCAAATCTGAGTGGCTAAATAACTATGGTTTCACTGAGGACGAGCAAAGTTATTTAGAGAAAGGGTACCATCCATAACCTCTGTTTGTTCTCAATGTCTGCCTCATCACATAGCCAAAACTTTAAAACTGAACCTTGACTGAAAGCTGAAAAAGCTGGGAAGCTAGCAGATGGGGTGAATTATCCCCAGGGCACAAAAGTACAAATATTTCTGAGTATTCAAATGGAGATGCAGTGGAAATAAGCCAAGAGTACAAAGCAAAACTCAACTGCTAATCTTAGGTCAAAAAGCCACAAGGGGAAAATACATGCCAGTGCCATTTGTAGGTGATTCCACGCACAGGCGCTTTTTTGCTAATGTTAGAGGGCGCCCAGCCAAGATGAGTAAACTAGAGTGCTTGAAAAACACTGAACAACATTTTTTCATATTATGTAAAATTTGAAAACTTTTACTTGCTATTCTAACTGTATAGAACAGTATTACTAGTGTAGCAATCCTATATACACTTCCTAGGAGTAGGACCAATTGAACATAGCAGCACTTCCAAATAAGCTACAATGGGATCTGGTTGTTAATACAATGGCAGAATGTACATAACATGATTAATTCATTTGAAAAAGCTAGTTAAATGTTAGTCTGACTCAAAGTAGAACAGGTATATATATGACTTACCTTATATTTTAAAAAGAATGGTTGGCATAAATGTACGTCATGGTTCAGCTCAGTTAGCATCAAAAAGCATGAAGTACATAGGTCCAGTACATTCCAAACGCACTTAAAATTTGCCTCTCTCTCTTCTAATGATAATCCTCAGCCATTAGCATCCAGACACCTCTAGGACTATAAATATAACAGAAATAGCTGGGTGGGGGCCAATGACATTATCTGAAAATATATCTGGAGCACAAACGTACTGAATGTTGTTAGAGTTAGGCCAACCCTCAAATGCACAAACCATTTAGCTTTACATTTAGAAAAGAGAACCAACATTTGATGTCTTCGACCTTCATGCAATCCAATTACGTTTTCCTTTTAAAAGAGATTTTTCAGGAACCCTCTTGGGACTTCATTACTTGAGGAACTTATTTGCTTTGCTGAGGAGGCTTCTTCCATTTTCAGTGTGGGAGGAAAAATGCATCCTTTACATGGATTTTTCCCAGTAGTTTGCATTTCTCTGCCTTTGTATACATTCTATTAACCAACTACAAGATGGCACTGTGATACAGGCACACTATAGAGAATTTGTGACTCCTCACAGAGCTTTTGTTCTGCAATGTTGTGGTTTAAATTTTAATACCAGACTTTCTTCACTCCTTAAAAAAAACACTAAAAAGATTGAAAAATATTAGAAAGACTCTGAAGGACACTGATGCCATCAAAAGCCCTTACAAACTTTCATGAGTGATGAACTATGAGAGCACAATAAAAACCTCATTCAGAGAAGCCTTTGAAGTATTTTTAAATGACTCTTGAATAACAGGGAAGGGGAAAAGAAAGCATCATATTTTAAATTAGTTATAAAGTCTCAGATATGTTATTCTACAAAACAAATTCTAATAGATAAGAATATTTTATTTAGAGTTCAGGGACAGATGACTTTTCAGGATTGGCAGAGTATTTATTACAGAAAAACCACAAGTTATTTCCCACATTGAAAAAAATTGATCAATTTTTCAGTTGGTAGAACCACTTCATTAAACAAAATGCTTCACCATAACTTATAGCTAAACTGTAGATTGCAATTCCCAAGCTAATACATTAGAAAGTACATGCACTGAACTGAGTTGTGATGTATAGTAACAAAAAGTAGCAAACGTGTTTCCCAGATAACTTTCCAACCCTACAGTACATAGTTGCACACATTTTGAAACAGTTTACTTTTGACAAGAAAAGTATTTTTTAAAGCAAGCTTCTAATCACATTACAGCAAGGCGATCAAACTGGTCAGTCCTAGAGGAGATCAACCCTGACTGCTCTTTAGAAGGCCAGATCCTGAAGATGAAACTCAAATACTTTGGCCACCTAATGAGAAGAAGGACTCCCTGGAGAAAAGCCTAATGCTGGGAACAATTGATGGCAAAAGAAGAAGGGGACGGCACAGAATGAGGTGGCTAGATGGAGTCACTGAAGCAGTTGGTGTGAGCTTGAGTGAACTCCGGGGGATGGTGGAGGACAGGAGGGCCTGGAGGAATGTTGTCCATGGGGTGGCGATGGGTCGGACACGACTTCGTGACTAACAACAAAAAAACCACATTAAGTACATAGTTTACACAAGAAAAGAATGTTGGTCCTTTGGGTTAACAAGCCACCTTACATAAAGTATCATAAAAGCTATTTATTTTAGATAAAAACATTTATATTTGGAAGTGCAAATTCTTTTCCCCAAGATTTTATTGCATATGAAAGGAAAATATGAACAGCTCTTGCTCCATAACCTCAAAGAGGAAACAATCGAGCGTGATATGTGGGGTAGCTTATACTTCTGCATATCATCAAGGTGGTAGAGTCCAGGAAACAAGTGCAAAATGAAGTCACCCTTAGGACATGACTCCCCCCCCCCCCCCGACCTCCAAAGAAAAGCCTATGAGGATCTTGTTACAATGGGGTGGATGAGCCACTGTCCCACATTTGGAAGCTAAGATCACATGTGCTTTTGGTTACATTTCACAGACTGAATTCAAAATGAACTTACCTGCCACCTCTGTGGGACAATGCTTGCAGACAACCCCTTGCCCAGCCAAGGCTCCCCATTCTCATGCAAGACATCTGTAGCTGGGCAAGTGCAAGATATTTTTTGCAAATACTTGCAAAAATGGGATTGGGGGAGGGGAGAAGAGAATTTTAAAAAAGAGACGGTTTGGCAATGATGGGCAGCTCCTCCAAAGTTCTGTTGAGGCAACTGGAAGGGACTAGCTGGAGCTGTCCAAACAGGGATCACAAAAGCCTGCCTGACAGCAGGCTTTCCCAATCACCAGAGGAGAAAAGAATGAACTGGAAAGAAACCACAGTGAGCCCCAAACAGCTTGCAATCATAGTGCAGAGACAACTTAGTACTCCCATGGTGTCTCTTGGGATTCCTGCAGAAGGACAAGGGTAAACAACCCATGGAGCACCTAATCATCTGTCAAAGAGCTCCTGGGTTGCTCACATAACAACCTACTCACCGTGGCTTCTAACAGGTCGGGCTGGCAAGGCATGCAAACCCAACCAGTGAGACATGCTTCCTGTTACATGTATTTGGGATGGTAGCATTTCAACACAGTTCTACTCATATTTATTTGGAAGCGAAGTCTCATTTTGTCCCATGGGATATGCTCACAGAAAGCATAAGTAAGAGTAATGGATTGTAAACATGGCCTTTCATTCCACAGACGGAATGCTCTTTGTTTCAGCAAAGATTTCCATCATCAAACAGAAAAGGAGGCAATATTTGGCAATTCCCCCTACTCCTGTAGCTTCCCATACTGTTCTGTACAGTTCTCCCAAACCTCTGGAGCAGGTAGGGTATGGGGCAAGGTATTGGGGAATTACTGAAAATCACTACCCTCTCATTTCCACTGATGGAAGCCTATGCTAGATCAAAGAGAACTGTCAACCAAGTGACACCAATTGGTTGTAACCTACTGTAGTGTGCTGCAATTATATGACCAAGTTATCATATTTGCAAAAACAATTCATCTTTCTTTTCTATATAACATATAATAAAGTAAACCTGAAAGATTTTAAACAGTGAACATACCTCTTCAACATGCTTTAGGTGACACACTTGTTTCATGAGATTCAAGTCAGTCAAATGGCTCTTTAGAAGGGGATAGAAGTTGTACCTGTAGCATTAACAAAAAGAATTGTAAATTGGCAGTTTTTAAAACTCAAAACTCGAATCATGTTGTATTCTATAAAAAGATAGAGTCGATGTATTTCTACTTTGTGGATCCACAATGATCAACTACTTTGATCCACAATACAACTCAAACTAAGCCTGGACCATTCTATAATATATTTACTTTCCAGACAGTAAATACAACTATAAAGTGGTCAACTAACCTCCATCCTGGAAAAGTGATTTTCCAATGTATCTCCATGCTTCCAAATACAATCCAAAGCACAGCACACTATTTACTGCCTACAGGCAAGACCTTTAACATAACTGTATTTGTTACATTTCCTTGAACACAAACTCAAATATTAGTATTTAATATTAAATTTATACATCAGGTCTCCACATATGGAAGAACAGTTGTAGGAGGCTAGACACCAAGCCCTATAGCAAAAGGTTGAAGGGACTGGGTAAGAAGACCAATGTAAAGAGAAAGTGAGAAAGCAGGCGATTCAACAGCACTTGCAAGCACCTAAAAGATTTTCACACAGGAGGAGGCCACCTGCTCTCTGTCATTCAAGACATGAAACAGCAGGCTTAAGTTACAGGCAGGTGGGTTTTGGCTGACCATCAAGAAAAACTTCCAAATGGTAAGAACAGTCTGATGATGGAACTAACTGTTCTACATCATGTAAGATATTCAACAAAACTAGACACCTGGAAGGGCTGCTTTAAACTAGATTCAAGCACCCAGCAGGGGGTTGAACATGATGGCCTATATGGTCCCTTCATATTATATAATTCTAACAGCTAATGGTAGATGCATATGTGGGTCACAGTTAACATGCCACTGGCACATTTTTGCGGAAATTCATGCTATAGTATAGGACCTCCTCTTGGATGCAGGTGAGGGAGTTTCAGAGAAGCCAAGATCAATGCTGCCAAGAGGCCAGACTTTCTCACTACTCTGATCTCCTAGCAGAGTCATATAAGGAGCAATGGTCAAAGTCAAGACACCAGAGTAATGTGCATTCACCTTCCTCAGGAGGAACAGTCACATCAGCAGAAGAGAACTGATATCTTTCATGGTGATGGGGGTGGAGAAACTTTTGAAGGGCAACTACTGGGCAGCAGTGTTAGTTCAAGGCAACACTGGCAATCGATCATGACGGTGAAGCCCAAGCTAACTCTGGTTACTACTGTGCAGAGGAAGGCAATGATAACCCACTTCTGGATCTTTTGATCTTGAAAATCCTATGATGAAACAATCTTGTGTGAAACAAAAGATTGTGCCAGGAGATAAGACTCCCAGGTCAGAAGACACTCAAGTGACCACTGAGGAACAGCAAAGGACAAATTATGTTATCGCTAATGACACAACTAGATCAACGCTGAAAGGAAGTCTAGTGGCTGACTAGAGTAAAGACACAGAAGAGAATAACAAGAGGAAAAACAAGAGATCCCTTCCAAGAAATCCAAGAGAAATCCAAACCTAGATTAGGAATGCTGAAAGACCAAAAGGGGGCATACTATCTGACCAGGATAAAATAAAGAGAAGGTGAAAACAATATACAGAAGAGATGAAAAGATGGCAGACTTCTTTGAAAAGAAATCCTGTGAAGAAGAACATGCATTAGAAAGCAAAGTGAAAGCTGCTCTGAAAATACTTGGAAAGAATAAGGGACCTTGAGTATTTAGGGTACCAATAGAATTATTTCAAGCTGTGGAGAATGAATTGGTCCTAATCTGAACAGGGCCCGCATACTGGAGGCATTTAGTATGCTTTCCAATAATCAGGAAAGCAGATGTGAAGGAATACAGCAACTACACAACCACTGCACTGATTTCCTGATGAAGAGCCTGCAATATTACAAAGAGAAGTGAAAGCTGCTCTGAACACACCTGGAAGGAATAAGGGACCCTGAGTAGATAGGGTACCAGAAGAAGTATTCCAGGCTGCAGAGACTGAAGACTATGTCAAGAAATATGGTAAACAAAACAAGGACACACAGACTGGAAATGTTCGGTACACATTCCAGTCCCCAAGGAAGGAGATGTGAAGGAGTGCAGCAACCACAGCCCCAGTGCACTAATTTCCCATGCAAGTTCAAGGTTTTGAAACAAAGAATTTTACCCAATATGGAATGAAAAATGATACATATTAAAGTTAGATTCTGAAAAGAAAAAGGCACTCAAGATCACATTACAAATATGTTTCTATAGATGCCAGGAAGTACTTCCTGACAGTTAGGACCCTGAGGGTATGGAATGGGCCTCCACGGGAGGTGGTTGAGGCCCCATCGGTGAGGGTGTTCAAAGATAGGCTAGACATGCACATGGTGAGCATGTCGTGAGTGGAACTGGCTGGAGCCTGGTGTCAGACTAGGTGGCCCTAGAGGCCCCTTCTGACTCACTCTTTTTCTATGTTTCTATATGTTGGCTACTGGAGTGCACCAAAGAATTTCAGAACAAGACCAGTCTATGCTTTACAGGATACAGCAAAGTCTTTGTGGATGAGGATTATGAGAAGCTATGGATGGTCGTGAAAGAAATGGGTGTGCCTTAGCATTTAATTGTCCTATGTATAACCTTTAATGTGGAGAAGACAATACTGTTAGGCCAGAATATGGAGAAACAGAATGGTTTTCTATAGGCAAAGACATCAGACAAGGGTGTATTTTATCTCCTATCTGTACAATCTGGTCTGTACACAAAACATATCATAAGGAAAGATGGATTAGGATCTGAAGAAGTAGAGTGAAAATTGATGAAAGACCCATCATTAATTTAAGATATGCACATGATACCATATTAGTGGCAGAAAGTAGCAATGACTTGAAACAACTCCTGATGAAAGTTTAAGTAAAAGAAGAAAGTAAAAAATGAGGACTATTAAGACAAAGAAAATCATATTGTTAGAAAAGGCTAAGAAAAGTTGAGAAAGTGTGGTTCACATCAACCCTGCAGTGTCGCCGAGCAATGTAAGATGCCCTACTGAAGGCTAAGTTGAGGTTGAATGTAAAACACTGCAATGTTATCCATTACTTTAAAGATAAAATGAACAAACGACTCAGGAGTATGAAACAAAGGAAAAATTGCTAAAGCAGAGGGACACTGCAAATTAAAAGAACATGGTACAAGCAAATGAATTACTTATTTCTGTCTGCACTGTAGAAGGTATAGAACAGGGGTTCATCCAGCCCTTGGCCACTCTTTGTGTAGTTCTTGAAGCTGCAGGGACCTCATTACTATTCTTTCCAGCTCAGGTGAAAGCGTAGACTGGGGTGGGGGGGGGATTGCCTGTGAATGGGAGATGCTTCTACCTACACAAACATATGCATGCACATACCCAGTGTGATCAGATCTCCATGGGCCAGAAGGGGAGGTATAACTGTGTAAAGAATAAGTGCATATGCTGAAACCAGCTGAAAGCAGCTATGGCTCTTCTGGCCAAAAAGATTGCTCATCTCTGATGCAGAAGATATCTGCACCTAAACATGTTCTTTTTTCCAAGAATGGTATCTAAAAAACATGGCCAAATCAAGGTTAGAAGCGATGACATTCTGAAGTTTATCAACAAATCACCAGTTCTGGATACCCTGTATCTAAGTGTTCTTGAATAAATCAAAATACTTATCTTCTAACAACAAAGACTTAGGCAACATAACTCTGATTTTGATGAAGGATCTAGGGGAATCTTGGAATCTATAGGTCGACTTTAATAAACTTTATTACGCATACAGAAGAAAAGACAGTATGGATTCTGTAAAGTCCATATAAAGCTTTAATGTGCATTATACATTAACTTTAAGTATTACCCTACTTGCTATAGAAAGAACTTGCAAAATCACACATCTCCATATTCCTGCAGCTGCCCTGTGACTTCCCTTTGCTATGCTCATTAATTTTTCACAATGGGAAAATCTATTCATTTTTTTCTAGCATGCCATAATTTCATAAGAATGCATGTGCTACTTTCATAAACTTGTGACTTTTCTAAGAGAGTGTGGCTGTGACATTTGCCACAATGTTTTTAAATTGGTGTTTATAAAATGCAATTTTGCTTCCCATTGTATAACATCATTTCCAGTTGTGTAAATAGGAGCATGGCTGTTTTCCCCTTAGTTTTAATTTTGATGGTGGGGTGTTCATGTGGGCTTTGTGTGGCAGTAGAAAAAGATCCGGGCCTTCTTGTCTGCTCTTTGCTCTTCTCCCTACATTTTTAAGTCCTGCTGTAGCTGCAGTGGTGCTTTTCTTCCCCATCCAGCAGCTGTTTGGCCGCTCTGCTTTCCTCTTCCCTGCTCCACTGTCTTTCCTCCCACTGTCCCTTCCCTCTCCTATTTCTTCTTTCTCCTCCATCCCACCCCTTTTGGTTGCCTGGTTCATTTCAGTAGTCAGCTGCTTGTCCCTCTGGTTGCCCAGCAACCCAGGGAGCACTGTGTCACTGCTGTTTGTGGCTGCTGTGTTCTGTGCTTTTGCTTCTGGCCACCCCGCCCAACCCTCTCTGGTAGTGGGTGGGTTCCAGTAGCAGATCCCAGTAGCTTTTCACCATGACACTAAGTTATTGAAATGTTGAATGGGCAAACAAAAAAGCAAATGATCTCAGTGAAAATACATCGAGACTAAACATCTGTACAACTTTGTATACATTTTGTACACACTCTGATGGAATTGATGGAGTTTGATCTGGCACAGCCTATGTAAACACTTCCATGCATGCAAGTACTACAAAAATAGGATGAAAAATCTGAATGGCTACTGTATGAAAGTGAAAAAGATGGTGATGTTGACTACTAAGAAAGGAAGGAAGGAAGGAAGGAAGGAAGGAAGGAAGGAAGGAAGACAGAAAGAAAGACAGACAGACAGACAGACAGACAGAAAGAAAGAAAGAAAGAAAAGGGTGAGGAGTAGAAACAAATATGAAAATAGGCAAATAAGAGGCCCAAATTTAAGGTTAATAGATGTGAATGCCTAGGGTGGGGTAGGGGAACGAAAAAAGTGTGGGACAAACAGGAAAATGAATAAAGCACACTCCTGCCCTCCCTGCCATAACAAAAAAGGTCTCTACAATCAAACAAACCCCAAGAGGGTTTCTGCTTTTCTTTCTACCTCACTTCAACACAGGGCTTCTTCAAACAAAGAAAACTACATTGTATTTTGTTGCCATTGCATATGCAGACTTATTCCAAATCAGGTAAGATGCTTATGATTTTAACTGCCTCCAACAACCTATGATTTAAGCTCTACGTGGAATTTTATCAACTAATGAAGAGTCTGAATCCTTGCTATTATTGTAGACTTACTGAAATGATGTGAATTGGAATTTTCATATTATATCTTCAAGGGGCGTATTGTACTGTATGTTATGTTTGGTCCTTTCAGATGGATGTTGATGATGATGATGATGATGATTAATGATTACATTTCCATATTGTCTGTAGCTGAAGCTCTCTGGGTGGTTCACAAAAGGATGTTCTTCCTTCAGTTACAGAAGGATGTCCTGAATGTGCTTTGCCAAATTTTATTCTGGTATCTCAGTTTCCAAGGAAAGAGCTCACACTGAACTGTAGTTTACACTGTCTTCTTCCTTTTGAGAATAGGTATGAGGGTTAAGTCTAGGATATAAAATTCAAAATGCAGAGAGTAGCAGGAGCATGGAAGAGTTGAATTGCCAACAAATATAGTCATGTTTTGGTAATTTCTTGAAAACATTATGTTCTTTACCAGAAACCATTCAACTGACCCAAAAATGGCAGCTAGGATACCTGAATATTTTGTTCCATAGCTTATCAGAATTGTCTAGTTTCATGCTTTCCATTTCTACTAAAGATTTTTTTCAAATTCCATTCCTGCTTTTCATAAAGAGCAGCAAGGTTCTACTTGTAATTCCAGGCCACAAGCACAGTTACATAAATGTCTGTGTCACAGACACATAAAAAGCATAAACGCTTAAAGGAAAATGAGTTTGAACATCACCTCTAAGACTGACCCGACTAGTTTTAACTACTAATTCCAACTCCACCTATTAACTATCATAAATAAGTAATTTGTATGACGTAAATCAGTGACATATGTTTGGGCAGAAACAAGTCCTAACATTTCCTCCATGCTGGGATTTGTAGGACTTTTGTCAGTCTAAATAGCACACTCTCAGTTAAGATTGCAACCCTACACACATTTACTTGGGAAAACAGCATCAGCACTTTACTTCTGAGTAAACATATACAGGATCAAGTGGCAGATGGCCAAGATATCACAATCCATAATAAATGAAAATTACCAGGTGTAGTATTTCTTGAAAACAATTGTTCCAATAGACCATAAAAATCTTTAAAACACATAATATTCAACTTGTTTGAGAACAAAATATAATGAGTTTATAAAGGCAGCAGATACAATTTGGCATTCCTTCTAAACATTACCTATTGAATTATAGACGCTGTACATGCAATATGAGCACACCTTACTATATGATGCTCTGAGAATATTTACAAAATAGTTCACATATTAAATTAGGCTAGATTTTGTAATCTGCAATGGTGACCACTAAACATCAGCAAACCCTTGTATAATAGTGGCATAATCATAAGCCTATGCACTTGCTACTAAACACACAACTAATCTCAATTACATCATCAGATCATTCTGGATATTAGAATAACAATGCACTTCAGGGAAGGGCAATACAAAATTAGCAAAATACAAACAACCAGATAACAAAGAAAGCTTTCAGAAGCTAGATTTAAGAACTCAGCTCACTGAAAATGCAAGTACAGCATTAAGGGTAAACAATTATTCTATCCAACCACCTAATGCCAGGCTCAAATGATTAGGGCAAGCCACCTGGCAAACCCAGCACAACCTACCAGAGTGCTCTTGATGGCACAGCTTGGAGCACAACCATCGATAGCGCTAATGTCAAGTGCAGCCACTGCTGTTGTTTAAAGACTACATGGAAATTAGCCCAGTGACCCAATGCTGGAATAGATTTAATTTACTTTGGTTGCATTGGTCTCTTAAAGCACAAACCTGCACATGTCTACTAAGGAATACACCCCACTGAGTTCAATCAGTCTTACTCCCAGGTAAGACAACTAGTATTATATAACGGTTAGAATTCTGGATTGGGACCCTATATCAAGTCTCCTTGGCCCTGTAACTCACTACTTTGGGACCATCACTGACTCTCTCAGTCCAAACCACCTCAGAGGATCACTGTGAATATAAAATGAGGAGGAGGAAGAAAAGGATCATGCATGTCATCTTGGTCCCCTTAGAGCAAAAGGTAAGACATTAATGTAATGAATAAATAGGTACCTACAGGAGTGCAGCCCTATTTATGTACACCGTTGTTCTCAGCATGCATTATTTGTTTAGTCTACTTACATATCGATTTCTACCTTACTCTTCTTCGAACAGTTATGTTTCACTTATTTTCAACAATAAAACTGTAAAATCTAATAGAACGGAGGCAGGAATAATGGAAGGGGGCTCTATATCGGCTTTCCCCAACCTGCCGCCCACCAGATGCGTTCGGCTATAATTCCCAACACTCCCCCGCCCGCTGTATGTTATATAAAATACGCAAGAACACGAAACAGGCGCGCGCGCAGTTCAGACTCCTCCAGACTCCTCCAGACTTCCACACTCCGGCAGCCCCCCTCCGTCTTCACCACTGGCCACAAAACCACGCATTTGCACGGCACACTTTACTTCACCCCACCTCGACATCCGAGACTGGAGTTCATCTGAATCTTATCACTTACAATTCCATAGCAGCCCAAGAGCCGAAGCTCTCTGGGCAGTTCGCACTGGAAGGCACGAAGGCCACAATCACATGCATTTGGGGACCCTTATCCAAGTGGCTGGATTACGGTACTTCCAAAGCGCGACTAAAAGGGTTAATACAGAGATAACGCAGAGGATGCGCCTTTTAAACCCTCCGACCACTCACCCACTCGGAGTAGGCATCTCACCACCCTTCCTGCACAAAGTCACCGGAGTCTCTCCGACGCGCTCCAGTCCTGCAGTCCGTGCTCCACTATCCTTTTCCTCCCCGTAGCCCACAGCCTACCTCGCCCCCTTGGATTAAAAAGGAAAAGAGAAGAGGAAACTCCTTCCTCACCTACTTACTGCGGTCAAGGCCCCGCTCCAACTTCTACTGACACTGACTGCAAGCCAAGCAGCGACCGACTGGCCCGGGCGACGGAAGTCGCATGTTATACAATGCCTGACGCTGCCTGCCTGCCTGCCTCCAAAGCGCCCTCGATACAAAGGCAGGAAACGGAATGCCAGCCGTGGCGGCCGATATTCCCCCTCGCTCCTCACGCCCCCCTCACCAGGCACCGCTCGGGAGCGCCCCCGCCAAGTTCCCCCCAAAGCCGGGCCAGCTCGGCTTCATACCGTCCAAAACGTGACCGTGCCTGCAGAGCCCGCTCCGTCGGACTGCGATTGGCTCAAGGGGAACTTCGTCCGCACCGAGAGTGGGCGCGGGCGTCCCTCAGGAGACTCCTATTGGCCGCAGCGGACGTCATTCACGTTGTATAAGCTTCACGTGTAACTCCATGTTTCCCTCGCTAGCAGGCTGGCGAAATTGCGGGGGAGGCCGGCGAGGGGTGAGCGCCGCCGCTCCACGTTTCTGCTGCTCGCTAGCTGGAGGCCCCCGCTGTCCGTCCCCCCCGGCCGCCCCCTCTCCTCCGGTCGCTTCACGGAGGAAAGTTCGGCTTCCTCGCGTACTCGAGGAGTGTGCCGACCAGCGTGCCTGTCTGCTGGCGTCATCATGCCTGGGGCTGGGAGGTGACCCGGAGCGGCTGGCTGGCTAGCTGGCTTGATGGGGAAAGGGCTGGCTCCCTCCGTTCGACCTCGCGAGGGGAAGAAGACGGTCTCGGAGCTCTGTTGTCACACTTGAAAATAATAGGGTGATAGGCTGATTTGCAGGCAAGGTCAGCTCTGGCCCTGGGAAGGGCTTGCCAGACTGCCCCCGATGGGCTCCCAGTTTCGGTGGGCTTATTTGGTGACAGTAACCGTAGCCGGAGCAACATCCTGTTATCTGCCCCAATGTCCCAGATTTAGATTTGTTGAGGAGCATCGTGCGAAGTAAAAATGGACCCGGAAGAGAGATGATTTTAACTCACTATAACAGGCAGCAGTAACGTTCTGTAGCGTTGTAGGAAACGTTGGTTATACCCTGTGTTAATTTAACGTGCCATTCATTGCAACTGGGCTCCTGAAAGCAGGACTCCTACTGGGTGCAGCCTGTAGGGTGCTTCCCGGTAGAGGGTGCCTACTTTCAAGACCTTTTCAAGTGCCCATTTGAAAAACACTTGGCATCTATTTCATTTCTTCATTATGTTTTCCCTGCTATGAAAAAAGTAGTGTGAAAGCCGGGTAAAAGTACATGAATGAGGTAGGGCAATTGCAGTCTTTGGAAGCACCAGTTTCTTTTAGTTGCCTAGTACTGCTCAGAGTGCTTTGGGGGGGGGGGGGGATTAAAGGGGAGCAAGTGATGGGCTCTGCTGGCACACTCTGGGGTCTAACAACTGCACATGAGGGCCTATTGTTGCCAGGCCTGCATAGAAGTGAATTAGGATGCAATCCTGGGCATACTGACTTGGATCGACTAATTTTGAGCAAACATGCATAGTGGATTAGTTCTGTAGAGTATTCTCCTGCATCAAATTAACATTAAAGTTTGTTAATGTTTATGGGTATTACCATTGCCACCAAAGACTAATAATAAACACAAAATTCAGGAGGATTCAGCTTGAAAAAGAATGTGCAATTTTTATCTGGAGTGTGTTTTGGATTTACTTGAATTGGGCTCATTCAGACAGATTCAGCAGATGTTCAAGTGAAAATGAAGTTCCTTGGCAGCGGACCAAATCTGAACATACTTGAAGATTTATTAGCAATCACAGAGAGGACAGGTTTGAAGGAGACATTAACTTCCTGGGTCTCTCCTTCCCCCTCCTTTCACCTTAGTGCTCCTGGACTATCTAAGTGACACTGTAGAAGCATTGAGGAGAGCAGGATGACCTTGATCAAAAGTTCAAAAAAATTTCACCCACCAAAATTTTCCAAAAATTTGACCAAAATTTTCACCCACTTCACTGCTTAGCTTTCCGGCACTCTGATACATTCAGGGAAAACTGATGATAGCTGTGCTTTTGTAGCTGTCATCAGCTGGAACCGCTTAGCAAGAGTAGCTATGGTTCTTGTTTGTTTAGGGTTTCTTTTTTCTTTTGGTTCCATCAAGGGTTTCTTGTTTTTGTTTTTTTGTTTTTTTCCCAGTTTGACCATGGCTTAGTGTGTTGTCCAGGTTCGACAACACATTAATCCATGGCAGGGGTGGGATTTGAGTCCTAGAACAAGGCATGGGCAACTGGGGTGGTATATAAGCCACCTCTGAGAAAGAGTGTTGACTTTGGATGACACATTAACCCACCATGGCTTATAATGTATGTGATCCCAGTCAAAGTATCTCTTCATATAAGAAATACTTCCCAAGCTCTCTATATGTAGAAAACATGAGGGAGGGGTAGTGTCAGTATAGTTCTGTGACTGGTAGAATAGTTTTACCAGGGCTTTCCAATCCTACTCCTCTGGAAGAGGAGCACTTGAAGTAATATTATGTAGTATGACATATCCCACCTTCCTCTTGCAAGGAACTACAAGGTTCTCCTCTCCCTTCTGTTCTTGTAACTATAATTCTGTAAGGTATGTTAGGCTGACTGGCTCAAAGTCACTCAGCCTAACCTATCTCACAGATCGCATAACTGTCCCCGTGTTCAGAGCTGTTGCAAGTTCTTACTCTTAAGACAGGAATGTTAAAAAGAGTTTTTATGGAGTTTGTGGAACTTAGAAGAGTGTAGGATTGGGTACTTGTTTGAAAATGCTAGCTGGTCAAGTCCTGTATGCTCCACTCCTGTCCTATTACACTTCCTGTGACCTTTATGCCAATTGAATAGGAAACAAACAAAATTCATTTGTCATAACTCTAGACACTTCCTTCTGAAATTTTGCAGATTGCTTGGTCAAGAAACAGCATTATGATCTACACTTCATTTCATACATATTGCCATCCCCATGGGGAGGAATAAGAGGAAGCAAATGACTTAAGTGTGCTCCAAAAATGCACACACTCCGCTTATGCAACAAGTATTGTTCCCATTCTTAAGAAATGCTGCAGGATTCTTTAATAGGGCCACCTGTTCTGTGCTATTTACAGAGCAATTGCACAAATAGAATGTGGGGGAATAAGCTTATCCTTTTTCAAAAATCCAAAACTATAAAGACTGTGCTTGCACATAACTTTCTGTGCTTATTTGGCGGAAATGTGGCAGGCAAAATCCCTTCATAAATGGATACTACATCTGTAAGTTTCATCCAGGAAAAAGTTGTGACTGTTTGTTTTGTTGCAGTGGTAGTCAGTTGAAGGCATAAAGACTGGTTTCTGAATAAGATCTGCATACAAGCTGAAGTGGGAGGCATCTGAACAGGCCTGTGTTCTGAATCAGCTCTAAACTCAGTCCTGTGGTTGGTGGACTCCCTAGTTTTCACCCACAGGGCAAATAGTCTTCCCCTCTGAGGGTGGCAATTCTGCGTGGGGAAACAAGGTGGGAGAAAGTGCTTTCTCCCCATGCTATGGCCCTGATCTACTAATCCCACCACTGCACACAACCACTTCACACTTTTAAAGAAAAACACCACAGTGGGAGATCTAATTACAGCTCTCCCGTTGTCTCTTCTAGTTGTGACCTCAGACGAGTACCAGAAAGTGTTGCATTATCTCTGCTTAACTATGTAGAGAGGCATCAATGGCATATGACATTACATTGATTTGTTGAATATGTAGGTAAGCCTAATTAGTTTAAATAATGCATTAAAATGGGGCAGCTGCCTCTCACCTTCTCTGTCATTTTTTTCAAGGTAATGATATGAAAATCTCTCTGGATGATAGAACATCCACTGTGATACCAACTATAAATGATAGTTTCTATTCTACTGTATTGTGCCTCAGCTTCAAATGGTATTCCAGGTACCCTGGGAATTCCTCACTGATAGGATCAGTAATATTAGATGACTTTCAAAGAAAATTCTTGCCTTCAGTCTACTTTTACAACTGAGTATGTTTTACGATAACCACAATTCCCAGGAACTATGGTGACGTTCAAGAGGTCATAACAGTTCATCACATGAATTTTTATTTACTTAAAACATCTATATCCCTCTCTTATTGGAATGTCTTACAGATAACAGACATCCCTCAGACTTTTAATCTTTTAATCCCTCATGTTTTTAATCTGAAAAAACATCACACAAAAAGGAAAGGGGAGGAAAAAGGAAAATTTTGGGTTTAAAAATATTTTTATGATGACCTTCCATAATGGAGCTGGGCACTGCTGGTCTTCTTTTCATGAGCAGCTAGAATAGAAACAGTTCAAAAGTGGAGAGGAACCAAAAATTACTGATGACTCACCTGAAGCAATGGAGTGGCCCTACTTCCCATGTCTCCTTTTTCTACAGTATGGTTGACTACAACCCAGCAAGTCTTGAAAATTGTCTGCAGCACACCAAGATTTTAAGCAATGTTCATGCAGCAAGCCTTCCCTGAAGAATGCTTGAAAACCACTGTTCTACATGCTCCTTGGTTAATTTCAGATTTTTTTGCTGGAATGACTGAATTAGTGTTTATAGAATATCCTTTTAATTAGTCAATGTAATCACATAGCCAAAGCAAGCAATCCTATTTCCACACCCTCCTAGAAACGATGCTGCTACATCACCCAACCTGGACTATTTCTGGGCCAGATAGTCATGCCAGGAGGTTATTTGTATGGCAACAGCTAATTTTTGGGA